CAATGGCAGTGCGATTCGAGCTCGTAATTGATTGGCTCTTGGGTCCTCTGCGCTAGCGTAAATAAGAGCGCCAACCAATGAGCGTATAGCTACCCACCTGCGAGTGCATTATCGATTCCACTGCCCGCTCAGCGGCTGGGCGAAATCGCCAACTCACGCGTGGCGTGGAAATTCCGCCCCACTCAAGCCACCGTGTGCAAGGTAACGACCGCTATCCATGCCAGCTGCAATTATTAATCATTGTTGTTCTTGCACATGAGCAATTTCACAGCCTACAAAGATAATAACAGGCCACGACGAAGCATGCGGCCGAAGTATAATTCGAATATGCTGTCCTTGGAGGATGTGCCGATGCCTTCTAGTTCATCGGTTAGTTGTCACAATCACTGACAGTTATACCTTGCAGGACGCCGAAAATGTGGTTGAGTATACTCTTTGATGAACGTTGTCTGACCGCTAACGGAAGTCACTTATCTCGCTCTACCTTCGGTCTCATTTTTCAGACCCTGACAGTAGCCGTAGCGGCTAGTAGTTTAGGCAGATATTATTGCCAGCAAAGACGATGAAGACTGGAATGGCCATTTCTTGGCTTATTAGCTGTCGCCAGCCAGTCATACCCGCCAACCCCAAGTGATGCACCACCCGAGGCTCGAACTCACGACCTTTTCGATCAGAGTTTAAAGCTCCCACCGTTGAGCCAAGAGCTCGTTGTATTGCTGGTTTAGCTCGGGAGATATTGACACTCTTAGATGAAATTTCACCGACCGCTAACAGAACCCACTTATCCCACTCTAATTTCTGACCCCTGATTAAGGACACTTTATAGGAAAACGTAGATGTGTATATTTAATTTCAGGATATTCTTCTTTATAGGTGCAAGCGAACGAGCTACCAGGTAAAACCTCCAAAAACGTCTTTCCTAGAACCATTGACAGTTTAGGTAGTTGGATAGAAAAAGGGATCAATGAAGGTGAGATTAGCAAATATTTGCTGCATCGAAATGCGGAGGCTGCGTTGGAAGGCAAGTCTCGTGGCTAACGAAGATACACGAGTCACAATCTCCAGCATCTTGAATACGAAGCGCTTCACATAATTTCCTTTCAAGTCCGCCGACTCAAAACGTAGTCCTGACCACTGATCAACACTGAGGTCGCTTAAGTAGAGCAACTGTCGAACTTGTCTGCCGTTGCTATCAGTCTTAGAAGCCTTCGTCTGCGGCAGAATCTGCAGCTTCAAATGAATTGATGTTGGTAGTAGCCTGGTCTTCACTAACTGAAATAGACCACGCAAAACAATCTTGAAACTTAACGAGCCAACCAGAGAGAGAAAAAGATATATTTTGAAGGTAATATCCAAAATTTTCAGCAAAAATGGTTCAATTCACGGAGAGCAGGGATAAGGTAAGGGGTCGTGGTAAATGGTCAAAGGTCACAGAATATTCAAAGTTAAAGGTTTGCACGATATCCACATCTGTTAAGGGGACAGGTAGGCTTTCAACTTCTCAATTTCCGTTTCTTCACACGTGAGATTGCGTGCTAGGAATGGGAGTACAGGGTGCTGATATGCTGATGTACGGGAAGACATGACGGGAAGCTTCGGCTCATACTATGGAAAGACTTTGCAGCCATTATTTCAGAGTAAAGAGGGTGAGCGACCTCACTAAGTATACGATCTGCAAATTACTTGACCATTGTAAAATGTCGCTGTATTATCATGTCAGCCAAGAAGGCATAGGAGACATCGGCAGCTGAAGAGGGCATTCGGAGGATGCGTTTAAAAATCAGCAGGCATTTTTTAAGTAAAGCTGGAACAATAACTGGAGAGTGGTGAAGAATGAGGGGGAGAATGCGGGCATCTATGAATCGCCAGATTAGGGCTTGCGGTGTGCGATATGAGCGCAAACGGCGGATATAATATTGAAGTTAACGGATTTTAATAAAAAGACCTTCAATATGAAGAGTAAAGGAGAGGTCACATGCCAGAGTAACACCAAGGTACCGGAAAGAGGATACCTCGTTAGGCAGAATGTCAATGGTTTCAGGACTAGGAGAGGGTCGCAGTCGAAAAATACACTGGACTGACTTCCGGTCGTTAAGCAGAAGGTCATTCGCTGACGACCATGCTGAGACTTGGTCCAGGCCATCCTTCAGTACTTGGAGATATATCGGACTTTTAAGAGAATGGCCGACAACCATATCATCAGCATATTTAACAAACAAGCATTCATTTGGCGATCGTGGATCGTCATTGTGGAGGGAGAAGAGGTGAGGAGATAATATTGCCCTTCGAGAATTTCACAGTTGTTGGGAAGGACCGTGGATTTTCGCTTGCCGCACTGAATGAATTGAGTTCGGGAAGTGAAATAGTCCCCTAGCCAAGAGACAGCTCAGCCGGAAGAGCCGCTTGCAGAGGTTTTATTAAAAAGATGGCGCGGGATCATATTAAAGGCTGAGGAGTATCCGAGAAAAGCACATCCGTATGCACGGCAGCCCTTATCTAAGTCTCTTAGAGCAGAAGGACTGCCAGAGCAACAGCGTCTAGTGTACTACGCCTAGCCTTATACGTAAGTTGTAGGTGATCGGAAAAATCAGAGAAAAACGGCGTAATTATGTCCAAGACAACTCGTTCTGTACGTTTCAGTAGTGCAGAAGAGCAGGCAATTGGATGAAAGGATTTTGGACCAGAAGAAGATGATTTTTTTGGGATGGGAGTGATTCTCACTGATTGCCAATCATCGGGAATTTTAGACTCCATGAAAGACAAGTTGATGAGGTGTGTCAATGCAGGGGCTAACTGAAAAGAGCAGGATTTCAGGAGAAACGGTGAGATCCCATCTGGCCCGGCAGCTGTTGAACCTCGAACCTTTTTAAGATGTTTCATCACTGTTTCCACAGACACAGGAACAAAGCACTTGGTAATAAGGAAATGGCGTTTGTCGGGAGATAAGAGGCAGTGGGAGTGTGGATGAAGTTTACATTTAAACGATCTAAGTCTACGTCAGCATCTACATGTGCTAGTGTATTGCTTTGACCAGTGAGACGCTTAAGACTCTTCCAAATTTCATCTAAGGAGAGAAGAGAGGAAGATGTAGATGAATTAAAAAGCTCACTGACAAAAAAGTCGTTCAGCCTGGAAATTTCACGCTTTATTAGGACGTTCACATCCTTTAGTCCATCAATTAAACTTAGTTTGTAGAACACTTCCTTTTGGGGTCACACAGTTTTTAGGTGGGGTGAAGAGATTCTGTCAGGTCTAACCATGACAGTGTCAAGAGGACAGCAGACAGTAAAAAATGTCGTTAAAAAAGTCGTGTGATAACTACAGCATGACTCGACATTCAAGTGTTCAAGAAGGGCAGAAAGGTTGTCAGATATGACAGTCTGGAGCAAAGAAATATTATTTGGGGACGTGTCTTGAACCCTTAGTTTCCTCTCGGGTAGTGCTGACAGTCCTTTATTAGAGCTACAATGGATGGTTGATGCGAGTTTAGGTGGTATGCAATTGATGTGTTGCATTGCCCGAGGGGTGTCACGTACAGAGGTCCGTGTCTCATCGACCGAGGGTGGTGTGTTCAAGTGGCTCTCTGACAGCCGCGACTATCTGGCGAGCGATTTAAATCTTACCGAATTCATAAGAATGGCGTAACTGATACGAGATTCCTCCTTTAGCAGACTAACCAAAATAGAGGCCTGCACTCTTCTGTAGCTCATTAATAAGAGGGTGAAAACTAAAAATATTCACTCAACACAGCAAGACCATGAGCTTCAGTTCGCATAGGATAAACCGCTATGAATACACTTTTCGACTCCAGCCAGTAGAGGACTGTAGCATGGTTAGGTACTGTTCTTAAGCAAACTAGAAATATTAGGTTCCCTATTCAACATAAGTACACCATAGCCTACTTTTGTCTGTAATCGTCAACATAAGCACTTTTTCTACCGTGAGAGATCCGCTGGGAAGTACCTCAAAATTATCGAAACATAAAGCGACAAACGATTGAGTTGGCTTATTTTTCATGTGCAAAAGAAAACATGCTGCCTTCTTTGACACACTCTCCTGTCAGGGTGTCTCAACCTTTCGTTGTACCAAAGTTTCCGACTATTTTCCATTCTTGTACCGAAATTGTTAAGCTAATTTCTTCATTTAACATGCGGCGTGAATAAGGTTCTAACTCTGAGTTTAAATGCTGGGTTAACTTGCGCTCCTGGAATCCCACCCTAGCTCCGTTTCTGGCTTGTTAGCGGTCGTCAGCATGTTCTACCCAGACTCAAGTGGCGTCCCATCTTTGCCGGTAATACTATCTGCCTATACTACCAGCTGTTATGGCTGTCAGGGCCTCTGACGAGGCCCTAGGCAGACCAAGACAGATGAGTTCCGATGGCGGTCAGTGAACGTTCATCACCGAGTGTGTCAATATCCTCCGTCTGTGAATATGCCTCACTATAAATATCCTGAGGCGAATTAATCTATGAAAATACCCTAAAAGCCGTGGTTTGGAAGGCCGCCAACTGACAAGATAACTGAATATTTGTGGCGGACAGCTAACGATGCTCTCCGGCTCTCTTGTGCAGTGTCCTCTGCCTCAACGTTATGTATCTTCGCAGGCGACTTTTTCCCACTCGCTGGCCTGAAGAACTTTGACCGACATCATCTCGCGCATACACGCATTTCCACATCATCTAGGCTACCTCAGAATCAATTGAACACGTCACCCCTCGGCCAACGCAGCCGGGGCCTTTTTAAGCGACATCCCCACGGACAATGTGTTAGGAGGGCCCAAGACGCGAGTGAACATTTGTACGCTGCCATTCCACAAACGCCTCACCTCTTCAACAATTCATTTTTCCAAATTATTTCTGTGCACTTTTGCACAACAAAAGCGATCTGTAACAATGTTTGCATATTTCACAAAAACTTATCATATACTGTACCATTTCTATGGAGTTTTTAAGGGCTTCGGTCATTTACTCCAAATATACTGACTGACTGAAGACGCGAGTCATAACTCGGCCTGTCCTGAGGGCACTAGGACAAGGTAATCGGACAGGCCACTAATGCATGCAGAGCGGGCAAAGAGAGCGGCCTTGTAAGGCCAACACGCGAGCAGGAAAAGACAACCACAGACCGGGGTCTGCCGTCCGTGAGGTCATGCCTGGCCAGGGACAAAGCGCGCGCGCCAAGCATCACCTG